GCGAAATGAATTAAAGCGACTTATGCATGCGTATAAACGTAGTAAATTACGAAAACGATTCAGCGGACGAACTAGCAAGGTGCGGATCCCATGCAAACATTACCGAAATTTATTAATTGAAGGCCAAGCAGAGGTGGAACCGTACAGGATCGTACAGTCCTGGTGGTGTCCTACGACCCACTTAAAAAGCAAAGAAAGATACCTACAAACTTACTGCCGAAAGTAGTGAAAACATATTGTCAAATGGGATTAAAAATTAGGTTTATCGATTGATTTGAATCAGGATAGGTCTTTAGCCGGGTACATGGGCTGCGAAATCGGTTATCTGTCAGTTTTTGGCCCATAATATCATCGGTAAAGGTATGGATAAAAAAGATAAAGTTGTCTCAAAATATGTCGCCAAATTTTGATTTCAAAATATGACAGTGAAAACCAGTCGTAATGTGTACTAAAATTAATTAAAGCCGCCAAATGGTTGTGGTTGCTTGTCACCAGGGTGACATCCCATTAAGCCAACCAAACATTCATCGGAACAACTGTTAAGCTGTCAATGTTTCTATTTTCACACGATTGCAGCAATCTGCTTGATTATAAGCTAATTTTATACATATGTATGTGACACGTAAAGTTAAAAGGGACCTACGCTCAGAAAAAAAGGTTTCGAGAAAAACGACTTTAAAGTTTACCAAGTTGATTTTGATGCTTCTGAGCGTTTTAATGGATTGAAACTCGTTACTCGGGTGTTTTTGGTGTCGCTGATTACGAATGCGATGTTAGTTTTCTAAAATTCAAAATGGCGGATCCAATATGGCGAATGACTTTTTTAAAAATTGATCGGAATCGCTTGAAACTCGTTACTCGGGTGTTTTTGGTGTCGCTGATTACGAATCCGATGTTCGTTTTTTAAAATTCAAAATGGCGGAAAAATTTAAAATTTTTTCGGATTCATGTGAAACTCAAAAATGTCGTTGACACCGAATTTTGAAAAACTAACAAACATACATATGTATTGTATTTTCAAGTGAATTGTTTCGGTTATTTTCTTGTTATAATATATGTGTTTTTTATTTTTGTATCCGCAAAAAATGTTAGGCAAATATTTTTAATCGCATATTTTACTCGTTTATAGGGCATATTTTTGTATTTTGAGTGCATGACATTCCGAGCCCTACATATAACAATTATTATTTTTTAAACAGGCATATAGTTAAAGGAAACTTATTCGCACCAGTTGTTGACGCATTCATTAGAAACAATGGCAGATATAATTTACTCGAATCGGCTATATTGGAACTTTTTGAGTTCGTGAAACTTGAAGACATCAAAACACTTTGCGTCTACTTCGTGGAGAATTTCAGCAAAATATTTGATGAAATCGAATATGTGCAAACATTTAAATATCTCAAAAATCGGTACGACCAGTATCAAGACCGAATAAAGGATCGCGACAAGATGTCGCTGGATACGTAAGTGGTCATATTTTAAATAAAAGTCTACATTTGATCATTCAAGCATACTAACGTACGTTGTTTTTTTTTTATACGTAAATAATGTAGCGGCATACCAATTATACGTAGTCGCTTCCGCCGAGATCCGCGACAAATGGACGACGAAGAGGAAATGTGGTTTAATGAGGAGGAAGATTTCGCCGACGAATATGATACCTACAACAGCGTTATGAAATGTAAGTTTTCTAGTCCCTACATTTTTCTAACTTTCTTCTCCCATTTTGAACATATTTCTTTGGCATTTGCAGCCGTTACCGAAAAGAATGGCCCTTCACAATCTCCGTCGCAGCAGCAATCATCGATTCAACAAAAGTCGCCACCTCAAGGCGGTCTGCTCGGCAGCAGTAGCAGCGTGAATAGTTTAAGCTCCACAACGACCACTTCAACGACATTGACACCGGCTGTGGGAGTTAGTGGCATCGGTGGGGTCTCATCCATCAGCGGTGTGAGTCTCAGTGATGTGGTTTCAAATGCGTCCAATAGCGGTAGTAGCATTGACCATTCACAGTCTGCCGCTGCTGCTACACAGGCGCATCTAGGCGCAGCTGCTGTGGCCGCCAATATAGCGCTCCACCACCAACAGCAAACGGCACTACACAATTTCCAGCAACAGCAACAACAGCTAAATCTAAATAGCACATTGGTCGCAGCAGCAGCGGCTGCTGCGGCTGGTGTAGCTAGCACATCGGCAGCTAGTGCCGCGCATTTAGAAGCGCAGAACCAACATCATCACCAGCATCAGCATGCAGAGCGTTCGCACGAAGATCCCGATATTGTAGAACTGCGACAGCATTTGGTTTCCATTGTACCACAACATCAAGAATTAGCATTGGCCGGTGCCGCCACTTCATCATCAACTGCCGTCACAGCATCACCATCGTCAGCGGTTACAGCTCTGCAATCGCAATCGTTGTCATCAGCATCGATAGCGGCGCCATCCACATCGACCGCTTTGTCAGAGTCGGCGGCTGCCGCTGCAGCAGCTGCTTCACAGCTACTAACATCGATTGCATCGAGTGATGCCGTCGCTGCGGTGGCAGCCGCTGCAGCGGCAGCTGTGGCGGCCACGGTAACTGGTGTGACACCTAATATGGCTGGTGCTGGTGGTGGAGGAGTAGTAACTGCGGCGAATTTGGCAGCAGCCGCCAATGCCGCGGACACTTTGGCGCTAAATGTTGTGAAGCACAACGATAGCGTCGATAATATGGGCAGCGGCAACGGCAAAGAAGGAGCTATTTCGACCGTCGTCACTGGGGAGAGTATTTTGAAAAAGGTAGGCGAGAAATATAATAAACTACAGTATCCAAATATTTGGCGCCGACATTTTTGTTAAGTGCTTGGCCAAGCTTCTCCTCCAAAGTGGTTTTGTGTGTCTTGATCTTGTTCCACAAATGGAGGGACCTAGAGTTTTTCGCCGCTTCAAACCGGCGGATGGTTTTTTTTTATGAAAATCTTTCTTTCCGAGGTGCCGAGAGGCGACAGCTACTTATAGAAAAAACCGTTTCTATTTTTAGATGTTCCTCGGACCAGGTATCGAACCTTGGTCTTACCGAGCAGAAGTAGGCACCGCTAACCACTAACATTCTCACGACAGTCTGGTCTACGTAACTGGAGCGACCCAGATTTATATTTGGACAACGACTGTCACTTCAGCAACGTTCCCATCAAAAGCTATTTGGGGAACTTGTATGTTGTTACAATAAAACACACCTTTAAATACTCGGCTACTGCGGCCACGGTATTCCAAATAGCATAGCTATTAAAGTCATTGGGGGGGTCACATAACTTATGTGCGGTATTAAGCTGTAAATCAGAATTCGACTTGCATCAAAAAGTCAGATAGAGACATCGCAGTCTTTCGCATTAAATAATCTCTGGTATATCGATATTTGCTTAATTTACAGGGTCTTGTCGACTATGAAAGTGACTCTGGTGATGAGGACGACTACGAAGAAGAAGAAGAGGAAGAGTCGCCGCATCAGAAGAAGCCACGTATGGCATAGCAAAATTACGCTACTAATGCAGCAGCCGCAGCCGCGGCGGCAGCAGCAGCAGCGGCCGCAGCGGCTGCAGAATCAATTATTAAAACATTCGCAACAATGTCTTCAACACATTACAACAACAATTTGTAAAAGAAATAGCCATAAAATAAACTTGCAGTAGCCAGTGTCGTGCCGTGCAGACTCGTACACACCAGCAGCTGCAACAACAACAAAAACAATTACAACCATAGGTGTAACAGAAATACAATAAACATGATCAAATAATTATCGATAACAACAAACTGCAGTCTGCCATTGTAACAAAAAACAAGTAGCAACAGCAAGTTACAGAAGAATGCGAACGTAAGAAATTGTATGGATTTTTTTTTTTTTGTGTTGATTGTTAATACGGACACTGCTGATGGATGGACGACAGACAAAATTATAACAAACTAAACATGCATACATAAATAATTATACATAAATACATACTACATACAAGTATATAACGCGTAATCTACTAGAGAATAAATAAAATGAAATTAATTTCGCAAAATACTAATTAAATAAATTTTGTCGAATTATAAATGCATATATACATAAATATTGTATGAGTGGAAAAACGGAGTTGAGGAAATGTTGGAGTGCATACAAATCTTATTAAGAGAAACACATCAAATTAATAAAATGCAAATAAGTGGGCAATCGAAAGATGAAAGAAAACACACTTCATACATATATTTACTTTATACACTAACAAAGTGTAATAGTAAATAAAAATTGTCGTCTTCGTCGTTGCCGTTGCAATGCTAAATTTAATTTAAAGAAGGCAACGAAATTATTTTCAAAAAACTAAAATTAAAATAAATACAAAAAAAAAAAATAAAATTACAAAAAACAAACGCCACGGTATTAAATCATTATGTGCCTGCGATGAGAATTGAAATCGCTATTGCTTAAACATCTTTGTAAAAGCCCAATTGCAGTGAGTTATTTGAAATTTAAAATCAGCTTAATAGAGGAACATACTACGCGGAAAACCTATTTATTTCGCAACCAGCTATCATCCGTATGCGTGAATTTCTTTCTCTCTTAAACATGTGATTTGCTATAACAACGCGCATGATGAGCTTTTGCAAGAGGCGTTGCAGATTTACGGGCGCAATTAAAACTTTTAAGCAATAGCGAAATTAAAAATCTCGGCACAGTTCGCGCATCAATTTGAATATAAATAAACGGACTAATTTAAAGGCGAAGGGAATGAGTTGTAAATGTAATACATTTGGTGAAACATGGCACTACTAGTGTTGCTAGTGTATAGGTATATGAGTAAAATAGGAAAAATTTTGTGCACAAACTTCTTGCATTTTAAAGGAAAGAAGTAATTGAATAGCGCCTGTAAACTGAGGTGAGTTTTTGTGTGGAAGATCAAAAATAGTTAAAATTTTCCCCGAGTGCCACTACGCTTTAGTAGACCACTTCAGTGTGCCAATTATGCCCAGGCCTTCAGAACTGGCACCCGCATACGCACACGCCGCCACGATCACATATATATTCACAATGAACCGAGTTTTAGAGAAGCATTTTCAAATAAATTTGTATGAATAATACAATGCAACAACAATTATAGCATACACCCTAATATATATATATATATATGTACATGCTGCATTACAAATCATAAATCGTGAATACATAACAGTAGAAATTCTAAAATTTAAAATTCATAAAAAAAAAACTACTTCCAATGGAATGGGCAGATTTTTGAAATGAATAATGTCTTAATTTTAGTATTTGTAAATGAGTGTTTTGCGATTGATTAACACACGCATATTAATGTGAATAACCAGAAAAACACAAATACACAACTATTTATGTACATGTTTTAATGCAAGTGGTGTTTAGAATATACATACATATACGCACATGATAATTATAGGAAAAAGTCTAAGTATACAAATAAGCCATTTCCCTCACAGCTGTTGTTTTCGGTAGTATTCAAACACAAAAACCATATAAAATTCACTTACAACATTTAAAAAATAATTGAG